GCGGGTTCGAGACCCGCCTGGGCAGCGAGACCTCATCTCTACAATAAATCAAAAAAATCAGCTGGGCGTGGTAGTGCATGCCTGTAATTCCGGCTACTTGGAAGGCTGAGGCGGAAGGATCTCCGGAGCCCAGCAGGTCGAGGCTGCGGTGACCGGAAAGCGGCCACTGCACTCCAGTCCAGGTGACAGAGTGAGACTCCAACTCAAAAAAAAAAAAAAGTGACACCTAGAAGTGGCAAAGCAGCACGGCCATGCCCTGGGCGCGTGCAGGGTTGAAATGGTGGACAAAGGCTGTTCCATCTCCACACAGTTCAGTCTCTGTTGCTGGGTGCAGTGTCACAGGGCGTCACCTGTCCAGATCAAGGATTTGGGGAAGAAAACAGCACTGTCTACGCAAGCTAGGGTAAAAGAAAGGGCGGGGTTAGTGAGAGCCCAGTGTGGTGGGGGCTGAGGACTCCTGAAGTCAGGGGTCACGATTCCCTCCGTAGTTCACAGAAGGCCATCAGAGCCAGGTCGGGGGCAGGGTGCCAGCTGGAAAGGTCCTCGCTGAAGCTGGTGGCCAGGAGCTTGCTGACTCAGGTCATGAGTCTGGATGGGTCTGCCAACACTGTTTCTTTCTGAGTCGGAGTTTCCCTCACCCAGTCTGGAGTGCCGTAGCATGCTGACTGCCACCGCAGCCTCCACCTGCTGGGCTCAGGCGATCCTCCCGCCTCAGCCTTCCAAGTAGCCAGAACTACAGGCGCGCACTACACACCCAGCTAATTTTTGGTTTCTTGTAGAGACGAGGTCTCGCCAAGTTGCCTGAGCTGGCCTTGAACCTGTGGGCTCAGGCAATCCCCTCGCCTCGGCCTCCCAAAGTGCTGGGATGACAGGTTTGAGCCATCGCACCCAGCCTATTTTTATTTTTAGAGACGGGATCTTGCTCTGCCACCCAGTCTGGAGTGTAGTGACATGATCATAGATCACTACTGTCTCAAACTCCTGGCCTCAAGTGATCCTCCACCCTCAGCCTTCTCAGTAGCTGATACTACAGGTATGTGCCACAACACCCAGCTAATTTTAAAAACTTTTTTGTAGAGATGTCTCACTCTGTTGCTCAGGCTGGTATTAAACTCCTGGCCTCAAGGGATCCTCCTGCCTTGACTTCCCAAAACACTGGGATTACAGATGTGAGCACTTGTGTTAGTCTTATGGTAATTCTATATTTAATTTTTTGGGGGACCACCCACCTGTTTTCCATAGTGATTGACCCATTTTCATTCCTACCAGCAATTTACAAGTGTTCCAGTACAAGGATTCCAGTTTCGCCACATCCTCAGTCCTTGTTATTTTCTGATTTTTTTGGTATAGCAGCCCCAGGGAGTGTGAAATGATCTTTTTTTTTTTTTAAAGCAAGATTTATTGAGGACAGAAAAACTCCCACAGTGG